CATATGGGAAGACTTATCATGGATTTTATCCTTGGTCTACCCAAAACTCAAAGGGGATTTGATTCCATCTTTGTGGTAGTGGATAGGTTTAGCAAGGTGGCTCATTTCATCCCATGCCACAAAGTTGATGATGCTAGCTTCATTGCCAAACTCTTCTTTAAAGATGTGGTTAAGCTACATGGTGTTCCTAAAACTATAGTATCAGATAGAGATACTAAGTTCCTAAGCCATTTTTGGAAAATTCTTTGGTCAAGGCTAGGAACCAAGCTTCATTTTTCAACCTCTAGTCATCCGCAAACAGATGGCCAAACCGAGGTTGTTAATAGAACCTTAGGCACCATGTTAAGAGCAATTCTTAAAGGCAACAACAAATCTTGGGATGAGTATCTTCCCCACATTGAATTTGCATACAATAGAGTGGTTCATAAGACCACCAAGCTGTCTCCATTTGAGGTTGTGTATGGCTTCAACCCAATCACTCCCTTAGACCTCATACCTCTCCCAAATCCTAGTGAATTCATTCATAAGGAAGGGGTATCTAGGTTCGAATTTGTGAAGAAGTTGCATGAAAAGGTGAAGTCCAATATACAACAACAAACCGAGAGATATATGATTGGGGCTGTCGTGGCCCATACAAATTTAATTGCAATTTAAAATGCATGTAGTTGCTAGGAATTGAACTCCTAGGTCGTCTTCTCTCCAAGGACCAACTGTGGTTCGAGAATTAGGTCAAACACGTAGTGGGGGGTTGTTTGGTGAAAAGTTTGTGAATGCAAATAAACTAAATTAAACCACGAATATAAACACTGATGTAAACACAGAATTAAAACGGTTGGTTATTGAAGCTAACACTACAATTAAACTAAAGAAAACTTGCGTGACTAACTTGAATTGAAATTGCTAAATCAGAAAACGTAACATTGCAGCTGACAAGTATGTGAAATAAAATTAAATGCCTAAGGTGCGGAGAGCGGCAGCGGAAATAAAACATTCAATGCAAAAATCTTAACCAATTTAAAGGAGTGAAAATTAATTTCTGTGATGATGAGCATTGAAAGGAGCAAATGGTAATTAAGCAAAAATCACTTAAAAATTAGCAAGCATTCAAACCTAAATGTATTCAATATGAAAATTGTAACCAAAATTGAGAGTAGGATCAAGCATTTAAAATAATTTAAAAGAAGACCCTTGGAGCATCTCTCACTTGGACGTGGCAACAACTAGACACGATGCTCACTAATTGAAATCAATGCTTACATTTTGGATATCTTCTTCTCCTCCAGCCAGGCCGTGACACCGTGCAGTTATACTCACCCTTTTTTTTAAGCCAAAATCCTTTTTTTCTTAGGTGGCGGCTCTCCTCCTCAAACCTGCAGGATGCGTCAGCTACTCAAGGGTCGTGTGCTGCTGATGAGTCAATATTTTCCTGATTTCACTTAGCTTATTGTGCTAAATTTAATCAGAGAATTGTGCTAGAATGTCCAGTATTTTCCCACTTTTACTAATTGTGCTTAATTTGACCAGAAATTTTCTTATTTTAATTAATTTGAATTATCTGAGACTAATTATTTGCATTATTAATTGTAGGGAAATTGTTGGATAATATTTAGGGACTTAAAGAGAAATGTCACGACAATTAATTTTAAGCTAAAAAGGAAGAGAGGTGTGGATTTCTTTTTTAGAGGTGTTGGGAGTGCATACGGAGTTAGCTAATTTCGTTTTGGGCTTAGAGGAGTGGGATTTCAAGTTGGTGTGTTTAGAGAAAGGCGGTGCAACAGAATTAAAATGGAAAGCACCACGGTCCATGATGCAATAATGGGAAGCAGCGAGGGTGGAGAATTATAGAAGAGCACCGACCACATTTGGGTTTGGCTTTGGAGGGAGGTGCACAAGGGAGCTGGATGGAAACGTGAGAGCATCCACTCACCACGCTTTTGGCTGGGCTTTTAAAATATTTGTTTGGAAGAAGAGCAGCAGCAGTTTGGTGTCACGCGAAGAAGGGGAGAGAGTTGGGACATGGAAGTGGGAGGCCACGCACATGAAGGACACGACCCAGGATTAAGTGCTACTACCACCTCTTAAAGGTCCAACTAGCATTGAAGTGGTGTGATGGTGTGAAAAAGAGTGGTCCGGAAGGAGGGCTTCACTTGGATTCACGGGTCAGCACGTTCAATGAAGAAAGGAGTGCACAGTATTGAAGAAAATGGGGTAACACACAGCAAGAAGTGAAGCCCACGGGTGCACGTCACGCTCCACACCTTCTACCACGTTCCAGCAACATCCATCATTCAGCATTGCAGCACATAGCCACGTCCACATGCTAGGGAGAAGATGTCACGGCCCATGGAAAAGAAGTGGCAAAAAGAAGAAGCATCCAACAGCTTTACACTGTTAGAATAGCTGCAACGGAATTATTAGCGTGGAACAAACCAAGAGGGGGGGGGTGAATTGGTTATATACTTTTATTTGTGCCCTTTATTATTTTCTCTTAATTTTTCTTACTTTTCTTACTTACTACCGGCGAATGATTAAATATAATGACAGCGTAAGAGAAGAGAAAAATTACACAGGGTATTTTAACTCCTGGTTCAGAATCACTAGATCCTACGTCCAGTCGCTTATCTCCAACAATAAACCTTTTTCACTAACACAAAAACACTTACAACTATTAGTCACAAGAAAAACAATTTGTAAGAGTTTAGAAATACCACCTCTCTTGAACCACAGAGATGAACTTACACTTCCTTTTGAAATCTTCACAAAGGAATGATACCAACCATCTCTTGAAACCACAAGAGACGAACTTACACTTCCTTTGACTCTTCACAAGGATGACCACCTCCTCAATGCTTTCACGAAGATGATTCTCCACCGCACATTCCTCGGTACAACCCCACAAGGATGAACCATCTATTCCTCTGTCACCGCAGTAGCACTTCAGGACTTGCAGACAAGAGTTTCCTTAGTTCACCATCTCCGCAGAGTTCCCAAAAGAGTTCTCAAAGAGTCTCAAAGATTTCCTCAAGATATGCTTTTGCACAGGGAAGAGTTATTTTTGCAAAAGATGAGCCATTTTTATTTATAGACTCAGCCTCATACCCTTCCATTCTTCGAAAACGGCCATCTAACGCATTTAATCGAATTAACATAAATATTCATCATTAATAATGAGTACAACGGCTATTTTTCAAATCTAAACGAACCCCAACGGCTAGTTTTTATCAATCTGAAACCCCCAACGGCTAGTGTTAATTGATTATTATCAGGAATAATCGATTAACTAAATAAATCAAATATAAATTACAAGAATCAACCCTAATCCATATTTGAGCACTATTACATCAACTTTGATTATTATAAAAGCTTTATAAAAACAGAGAGCTTCATTTGTCTTTAGGGTCTTTCTTGTGTCAAATCTGTTCATTCATCCAAAAAAAACCTTCATCTTTGATTTTTGCTAACATACACATCCATGCACGGCCCATGAGCAATTAAATGGGAGCACATCCAGCAGCTTGAGAGGAGAGGCGCAGACAACAGGTCCAATAGGTGTGTGCTTGAGAGAATGGGAGGTGCACACAGAAGAAAAGCAAAGGTTGCTGACTGGAAGGAAGGAGAAGCATGCGGGCCTGGAGTAGCAGACTCGTCCAGCAGCTTGGAGAAGGGTTTTAAAAACCCGTGACGCTGGATGAAGATGGGGGGGGCTGTCTCGGCCTGGAGCTGGTGCAGCCGCCACCTTGGTTGGAGCATGAGAATAGCACGCTGATTTCATTTCGGGAAGAGAGGTGCACGGGAACATTGAGCTGGAGGCAGAAGTGGTGATTTATTTTGGGGAAGTGTGCACACGGTGATGGCTGTTATGTACAGAAAGAGAGAGCTCCAAGGGTCTTCTTTTTATTACAATTCTCATGTGAATTACACTCAGCGTTGAAATGCCTACTAATTCTTAAGTTATTTCACTGATTCTTCATACGTGCTTTTCAATGTTCATTGTCACCTTTTAGCAATTTGGATTTATCCTATTACTGTTCAAGAGTTATTTATTAGTGTCGTTTTCGTGATGATTTGCATTTCATTGTTTTACTTTTTAGCTCAATCATTATATTTTAATATTAGATGTGTTTCCGTGATGCTTACTACTTCATTTTATTTTCATTGTTCACGCGTTTTTAATTTATTGTTTCCATGAAGAAATGGAGTTGATAGATGACCGCAATGTGCTTTTTAAGTTTTATTAACTAAGCTTTGCTTTTCATTTCCAACTACCCTACATTTCAAGTTTTATTCCAATTACCATGTGCATTGGATTGTTTAGTTCAACGTTGCATTTTAATAGCTTTAATTGCGCTTGGATATTTATCTTTTGCATTGTTCGTTTTAATATTTTCATTCACTTTAATGTTGTCAATTATGTTCGATTGTGTTTAATTTGTCATTTTATTTAATCATTTGCATTCACAAATCCTTTCCACAAACCCACCCCCCCTCGTGTCTGACCTAATCCTTGAACCACATTTGGTCCTCGAGAGACGACCTAGGAGTCAATTCCTAGCACTATATTGCATTCTTTTATGCAATCAAATTTGACGGGTCGCGACAGCTTCATCAAATTTTGGCGCCGTTGCCGGGGACCAACGGTTCGGTCTTAGGTCTTTTGTTGTGTTAGTGTGTGTTGTGTTTTGTCTTGTCTTGTGATGTGATGTTCTGTTTTGTGTGTGCGCATTGCATGTTAAATTGAGATGTGTTTTGTTTGTTTCGTAATTTTTAGTATTTTCTTTTTCCATGTCTACCTATTTTGATTTTATGAATACTGCTTTTTCTGCCTGTGCCTTTGATTATGATTCTCCTTCTGCATCTAACTCTGAGTACAGTCCTCATGTTTATTATGCTGATTTTTATGCTGAGAACACTATGGCTCATGTCCCAACTTCTGAGAGTGCTCCTTGGGATCCGGTTCCACTTGATGAGGAGGATGTTCGTTGTGTTTTCAACACTTGACTGATAAATTTGCTGCTGAGTTTCATGTTTTGCAGGTGAATGCCACATAAACATTTTGGAGAAGTATCTCATTTTTGCTCTGCAATGAAACCTCCAGATGTCCCGGATGATCATATTTTCATAAGAGCATTTTCACACTCATTACAAGGAGCAGCGAAGGATTGGTGTTATTGTCTACGATACACTGGTTTGACAACTGAGTCCTTTATTTTTTGGTGGGCGTGCAAATTTGAATTACCAAAAGCAACCTTTAAGACTTAGAAATCTAGCTTGAACTCATATTTTTGCTTTAGGTTTAGAGCATAAGAGAGTTGAAAGTGCATTTAATATGGTTTTTTTGTGCAAGATTTTTTCCCTTTGATTTTTGTAGCTAATGATGATTTGAAAATAGAATGAAATACCGAATATTTGGAGTGCTGAAAAGTCCAAACCAGAACCAGAAATTCACCCAGTCACCAGACCAGCAACTTGTCACCAGAAAGTCACCAGTCACCAGATGCTGAAAACCAACTCAAAAGAACACAAAAAAGTCTGACCGACGTGGCGCTGAGGCGAAATCCGCTGAGCGGCACTTTTCGGGTTTGCCGAATCACCGTTAGGGCCAAAACAACAGCAGCTGGGGGGCAAAACAAAAATGGATCCATGCGCTAATACCA